TACGTCCGAGAAAGCCTGATTTCTTTTTTCATTGTGATTCCGCAACTTTCACCAAAGGAATTACGTAATCATCAATATTACGCTACAGAGCAATCTCGATGGCAAAATACTATTTATAATATCCTGACTAAAATACTATTTAGTGTCACCGATGCTTTAAAATTTGAAATATTATATATTAACTGCGATTGTAATATGCATATATTAGCATAAAGAAACATAAAAACATGATTTTTGTTAAATACCGGAAATATGTAAATATACATACAGACGAAATGTTTTATAAACAAAGAAATCTTAAATTATGCTGTATACGCGTAAATTTCCCGTAAATATATCCCAGATTATAATGTGTTAATATGATATTAGTAAGATAGTAGCGCATTTGCAAAGATGCACGATCACAATAATTCAAAATAAATATACATAAGTCGACTTGAAATCATATAAATACATACAAATATATACATTTATCCGTAATCATTGAGTAATATAAATTATTAGATCGAAAAAATAATTGTTGATATTAATTAATAAAAATCTTATATTTACAATATAGGGACACAAATCTTCGTGACAATACAACAAATCACATAAAACGAACGTATGTATTAAAATCAAGCACATCTGAGACACCTTATTTGTCGATCGTTGTCAGAACGTTTTATGATGGCAAAAGCAAATGGAAAATTAAATCTCTATTTAATCCTTATAAAGTCAATATTGATGTTCGCATTGTTGTTTCTTTTGTTACACACGCTATTTGAAGCTCCTTAATGTATTACTGGAAGCTTCATTCATAATAATTTTTTCATAGTAAATCAGTGGTATTTTTGCATTACTTTGCGATCAATTATCTTCTCCATTTTAGTGTAATAATATATTTTCAAGTACAATTGCAATCATTTTTTCTAAAATATCAATTATTTTTTTTAAAATATAACATTTATATAAAGAGAATAACATTTATATAATAGAATTTCGTGAAAAATACGAATCACGACTAAACATACAACGACCTAAATTCGTATTTATAGTCGACTACTATAGGGAGATAAGGTGGTTGACGCATTATTTACAAATTGAAAGAGCAATTGTTCTATCGTTCGATTCGTAGTACACGATAGTAGGGTATCTACTTCATTTCATTGCCAGTTAGTATTGCCTAACAAGTTAAATTAAGGCGACTCGAACATACAGATAATGTTATACAACACTATGTACAATAAAATAATATAAGTTGTAAAATAATATAATATTAAGGATGAGTGCGAGAAAGAGAAAGAGGATGAACGGTATGAGAAAAAGTGTGAACAGTGTGAACTGATTTAGTCATTGAGTAGAGAAGAGCATGGAATCGCGCAGGATTAAATAGACAGCATGCAATAGAATCTATCTAACTCAATTTAATCGAGTTTAAGTATATATTAAAATACTCAGCCTTGATTGTTTAATCTCTAAATATTTTAAATTTACATTTACGCCAATGTCGTTGCGTCTCACTTTGTCGCGTTTTGTTTCGTTCGCGTTCTTTGTTATGCGATCATAACTTTTATCAGTCAATCATGACATGTTGAAATAGGAGCGTTATTCTTATGTTACAGTTATTCAATCAAGTAATGCGAGCAGACGATTTCCGCTTCTCTTGTTCCCTTTCAGCTTGCGGGTAGCCCGCCAACGTCTCAAGTACATCTTAATCCAGAGATGGCGAACTTCTTCCCTGCCGCAAGCCATACGAACTATTACATTGTCAGTCTGTCAATCTCTTCATCAAAGAAATTAATGTTGTGGGCCATACAAGCTGCTTCCCCGATCCTACTGTAATTTTAGTCAAAACTAAAAATGGACGACATCGCCCTATCGATCGAAAAAGAAGGGTACTGGCCCGTGGATCGCCATTAAGGCTTAATCACAACATCCCTTAATCACAACA